TAGCTCCTCAGCTCTTTCGACCCCCGAAACGACTCGATCGCTTCGACTCGGGCAGCAGCTACCTCCTCGGCCCTCGACCGCTTCAGCTCTTCCATCTCCTTGGTCATCGCCGCTTTCTGCAGCACCAGGGTGTTCTTCTCTTAGATGGCCTCTTGCGCCTCCGCTATCTTATCCTTGGCCATCTCATTGCGCCTCTTCAACCTCTGGATCTCCTTATCTACCTTGGCCATATTCACGTACATCTCGCCATAAGCCAGCAACACAAAGCATGATCAGTTAAAGGCAAATTCGAATTATATGAACAGAGTTTTAAGGCAAGCCAACTTACATAGGCCTGAGTCAGGAGCGTCTTCTGGGCCCGATCTACATAGGAGGTGGCCGGGGTCCTCGCCAGAACCTCTGGGTCACTCTTCACGCCTTCCAAGAAGACGTTCACCAAGGGAACCTCTTGTCGATGCATGGCCAGGTTCACCTCCTTCTTCTGCCGACGCAGCCCCGAGAAGTCCACCTTCTCCACCCCATCGGCGTAAACATCATCCATACCAAATGGGAGCTTCGGCGGCGCCTGCGGGTCAAAGGGAGGAAGCCTCGGCCTTGTCCCCATCACGCTCCGGTGAGCTTCCTCCAGCACTCTCTTCTTTCCCAGCACATCAGAGACCAGGCCTTCATCACCTCTGGGACGCCTCCCAGCAGCCTGTTGAGCACCTCCCCTCTCCACCTTCTTGGCATGAGACTCCCTCAGCCGTTTCTGCATCTCGGGATCATCCAGATCCATGGCCACCTTCGTGCTTCCCCTTATGATCCTTGCCACTGCACATCAAAAGCTAAGTTAGTCTCAAGCACAAAAAAGAATCATAAGACAAACAACAACGGCGACCCAGGTACTTACTCCCTTGCAAGAGTCCGGACTCGTACAGGTTCTTCTGGGTGACTAGGTTTTTGCGCTCACGCTGGGTCTCCGACAACAGTGACCTCACTCTCTCAACCTCGTCTTCTCACTCCTTGGAGATCGGTCCCCACTTCACCGAACCTGCACCATAGTTTAGATATCAACTCAGCCATTTACACTTGCACAAGCCAAAAGAAAATATATATATAAAGACCCAGGCGTCAAAACACTACAAAACAACTAGTCTTAAGGGATGGGGCTAAGGACCTATAGACTGGAAGTGGGTTGGCATGT